AAACTTGTGTTTACTGGGGCTGAGGGAAACGTCAGCAAGCAAGCCCAACAGTGCTATGCTTCTGAGACTTACAAGGTGCTCTGGAAGCTCACTGTACAATCCCCTGCTCTATTTAGTGGGGTGAGAGGTGGTGAAAAGAAAGGTTCCCCCAAGAAATGCCATTTAAAGAGAGAGCTCATGAACAGCAGAGAGAGGGCAACAGAGTTCTCAGTGGAGGGCACGGCAAGGCCAAAGGCCCAGCATGTCTGCAAGTTCACAGATTTCTAAACCAATAATTTTTTTCCCACTTGGTTATACCTGGTGCTAAGTTGGGTGCTGAGGAGAGTATTAAGGAACTGATTTAGCTAGGCTAGTTGGTTGCAAGGAAGAGCAACCCATATTTCAAAAAAAAAAAAAAAAAGGTCAAGAGCTATTTCATCTATGGACATAGATGGGAACTCAGGTGAAACTGAATCAACAGTTTGCAAAATGGGCCAGTACCATAGTAAAGCTGACCCCAAGTAAGAGAAGGAAGTGAGTTGGAGGCAGACCACTGGAACATCTCTGTAGCACTTGTCTGTTCACTTGACTCCACTGCTCTCTGCAAATGTGCACTGCCTTTCTCTCTCCTGCTTACTTATGACTAGTAAGGCCTTTTCACAATACTGCTTTCTATGTTATGGACACTACCCATTCAGACTTTCAGGAGAGCGAGTCTATTAACAACTGCCATCTGTATTTGCACTGCCGTTAGATCAGGTACATCAACGTTTTGGGAACAATCGATGTCTGCCTCAGGACAGAGAACACCCTGTGGTCCCTCTTCAAGTAGGGACAGTGGGTAGGGTAGGTTTAGCCAGACAGGAGGTTGGAAAGAACAGACATCCTAATTCTACCTGACCTTGCTCTTAAGTAATTTGTAGCATCATTGGGATTCATATGTGATCTCATGCATGGAAAAGTGCTGCAAAAGTTAAATGCCAAACAGGAGTCACCAGGAAATCAAAATAGAGTGAGGAAAAGCAAAAGATTTTGAGACTAACTCTTGCCAGTCACTCCGCCTCAGTGCCTTTGGCTTTGAAAAAAAAAAAATGTGATTTATAAACACCTAGCTCACAGGTCATTGTACAGGTCAAATTAGTAATGTCGGAAGACTTTGTAACCACAAAACATAGAGTTGTTTTTTTTTTTTAATTATTGTCAACATTACTATTATGATGTATTTACAAAATCATAAGGAGTTAGTCAAGGTTCAGAATGGGTAGTAGTTCCAGAGATCATTCAAAACCATGAGAGAGCACTATTGAATGCCTTTCCACTGTGTCCTAGCAATCACTAGCCGTGCTCCCTAGACTTCAGTCTTTAACTTCATTGTGTCTTAGTCCTCTCATCTGCAAAAGGAAGAATTATAATAGTAGCTATCTTGGGGTTGCGATTGAGGAACACATTAATATACTTAGAACCCTGGAACAGTCTGACACATACTAATCGATAGCTGCTATTACTGCTTTTATTATTATCACTACAACTAGCACTGCTAATTCCTATATTAGTCCAGTTGCACAGAGAGAGCTTGACAGGCCTGATAAGATCCGTGCCCACAGGAGGACCCATACCAAGGAAAAGGAGAGTCAGAAGATGAGGACTGCTCAGGCAGATGAGTCTGCCTCTTGGCGTGATCATGGAGGTCTTGGGAGCCATGTGTTGAGATCGTAGGGTGCTCTGAAGGAAAAGGGAAGAAGGAGAAGAGCCTTTGTATCTTAACTTGGATTTTTTCCCTAGCAGATTGGAGGACAGTTGGAGAGAGAATTCTAGTCCATATCTATGTTGAAGGAGATAAAAATTTACATATTTACTTTTTATTCACCTTCTGGTCCAAAGACTGATTTGCTTCTGTGTCAGTCAGGACTTTCGCTTCACACTGTGTCGTTGTTCCATGAAAGCGCTGCCTACAGGTTAATGTGAGAATTCCTTAGCCTGGCATCTAACACTTGCCACAGTCCCATCCATCCTCTGTCCTACTTTTCAACCTCTGGGACCTTGGCTGAAACTTTAAATGAATCAAAATGCCTACTGAGGCTATATTAATGAAATAGTAAATCTTTACATCTGCATTAGTTAAGTACCAATGTGTAACAAATTGCCCCCAAATTTAGCAGCTTTACACAAGGAACATTGATTATCTCAGTTTCTGTGGTGGGGAATCCAGGTGTGACTTGGATGAGTCCTCTGGCTCAGGGCCTCTTGCAGGGCTGCAACTGAGGTGTCAGCCTCGGCTAAGGTCATGTTAAATCTTGGCTGGGGAAGGATCACTTCCAAGTGCACTCATGTTGTTGTTGGCAAGATGAAATTTCCTCTGGGTTGTGAGACCAGATGCTACCGTTCTTCATTGGCTGTTGGCTGGAGACCACCCTCAGTTCCTTGCCCCCTGGACTTCCCATAGGGCAGGCAGACCCTGACAGTTTGCTTCATCAGAGCTAACAAACAAGGAGTCAGAGAGAACAAGTCAGAAGTCATGGGCTTTTGTAACAGTCTCAAAACTGACATTCCATCACAAGTAGCTAGATCCAGCCCACTCTCAAGGGGAGAGGATTACACTGGGGCATGAACACCAGGAGATGGGGATTGACTGGTTTAGAAGCCGCCTACCACATATAGAAAGTAATATGTTCTTAAAGCAATGCTAGCTTCTGTAACGAAGAGAAATGCTAAATGACAGACTTAATGGAAGGTTCTTTCTCAATCATGTAAAGTCTAAAAGGGTGAGCGAGAGGTATGCTCGGCTCTACAGAGATAATCAAGTAAGCATCCATACTGAAGGAGTCATTGACATCTTCCAAAATGTGCCTTTCAGGGCTAACCTGGCTGACAGCAATCCAGAAGGCAGACAGGGAAAACAGAGCATGGAGGGTCGTGTTGGACATTGTTATGGGCTTGTGTTTTATATCCCTTTGCATTCTAGTGGCCAGAACTCAGCCACATGACCCTGCCTAGATGCAGGGGGCCTGGGAAAGGCACCCTAGTTGGGCAGCTCCCTCTCAACAAGAGTTCTCCACTGTGTAAGAGGAGTATGGGTCTTTGGTTCACATCTGGCACCGTCTGCCACAGATACTTCGCCATTTACAAAATGCTGTCACATGTATTATTTCATTTGCTTCTCACCACAGCCTACGCTATCAGTATTATTACCCTTACTTTACAGACAAGGAAACAGACCAGCATAGCTTTAGAACATTTAGGACTGTGTCATTAGAGAGAATAGAGTTCATGTCCTTTCTCTACCGCTTAAAACCTATGTGACTATGCAAAAGTTATTTAACCTCTTTGTGCCTCAGTTATCTCATCTGTGTAACAGGGGCAATAAGATCTATTTATTCAGTCATTGTAAAGTTTTCATATGCTGCATATAAGTCACTTAGTATTATATTTGGCATATTTAAGTGCTTAATGAATATTATAAGGAAGATGATTATAAGTTATGTCTGTTGATAGAGAAGTTGAGGTTCAGAGCAGTTAAATGATTTACTTACAACTGTACAGGTAATACACAGTAGAACCAGGATGAGAGGCTGGGTATTTCAGCTAACAACTTCCCTATCTTTCGAGTTGTTGCTTTCTAGAGGCCGTTCATCAGATTCCTGTGTCAGGCAGCAGCGAGTAAGCATTGAGCCAGATAGTGCCAAGTGTCCCCTTCACCACTGCTTTGGTGGACCCAGGATCCCTGGAGAATCAACACTACATCACCTTTTCATTCCAACTGTTCCTCTTTATATCCACCTTTGCCTTTTTGTATGAAACATGCTGACCATGTGCCTCCTTTTTATTTGCACTATTAGGTCCTCTGAGTCCTATATTTAAAGGCCTTTGTTTATGAATAGGCTCTCTCATGCTAACTAGATAAAAGCATAAGAAATGATGTAAAATGAGATATTTCAGACTCTTAAATTTTATCACATTTCTCCTAGGGGCTTATTCACTCACTCCGAAAGAACAGAAAAGCATTTTGCATGTTAAGTAGCCCAGAAGCAAACCTTAGGATGGGGTGGTTTAGCCAGCAAATGCTACAGATCCACCAGGAGTGGCCAAAAGATGTTATTCTAGGCTGTAATGCTCATTTTTAGGGCCTCTGCCTTTTTTGTTAGATAGAATGAGGAAGACGTAGCAATGGACATGCTGAATACTGTCATTGTCTCCAAAGCAGCAGGCTCATGGCCATAGGTGGGCAGATCATGTGACCTTCAGATCTCAGAGTCAGCCACGAGTCATACCCTTCATTTTAAGACGACTTTAAGACAAATGACTTCTGTTACGGGCCAAAACCACATTAAATCCACTTGACTGATTATCAATAGAAATTGCAGCTTCTATCAGTAAAAAAAAAAAAAAAAAGAAGAAGAATTCGTGAGTCTCTTGGAAGTCCCATATTTATCCTCTTTTCTAGCTGGACTGCTTGATATAGATCTTGTTACATAATCGTTCTTGTCAGTCACATAGACTAGAATCTACATTTAATTCATTTCCTGGTGAAAAGGAATGGGATGATTATATAGTCTTGTGCATCCTCCTGTGTTAGTCCCAGTATTCCATGCTATCTCAACACCCTGATTTACCATTCTCTTGCTCGTTTTTTACACAAAGCTTTTTCTTTAGATTTCCAGACTATTCAATGAAGAGATAAATCCATTTCAGAAGATTTTCCTTTTTCGAACTCATCAAACAAGTAGTTGTTAATCTTTCTTTGTTCACAAAATAAGAACCTCATTATTTTCATTTTTTAAGTGCCAGAGAAAATATAGCATTATTTTTATAATACCAGGCATTTGAAGTGAAAAGAGGAAAAAATTAGTCATCATCAGGATTTATCTAAATAGCCAGATCTGGATCATAAAAATCTGAAACTGAATTGTAATTAAATTGTTTTAGTGAAACCCGGGCATCCTGTGATTTCAGATTTTATGAATCTTCTTAGGGCACCACCTCCAGTGTCATTTCAATGACTGTCCATTATCCCCCTCTTCTAGGAACCAATGTCCACGAGGCCCAGAAGATACTCAGTAACAGCGGGCTCCCAATTACTTCAGCCATCGACCTGGAGGACGCAGCAAAGAAGGCTGTGGCCAGCGTGGCTAAGAAGTGATGTCTTTGCCCTGATCTCGTGGCAGAAGTCCATTTTACCATAAAAAGGAATAGTTCTCTCTTCACTGTGAAGGAAATGGTTAGCACATTGAGAAAGGACAAGGGGTTAGGGATGAGCAAGAATCTTTGTATGAAAAATCTTAAATCTGTATCTTCTTGAAAAAGATATATAGACAGCCTAAATAACCTGATTTCTTTATAGTTTTTATTAAATCAATGCCCTTTGTTTTCATACTTTTCTGTTGTGGTGAGCCGGCTCAGTAAACTTGTGTTGCTGACTTGAGGAGCAGTCTATGTGACCAAACAGTGTGTGTGTGTGTGCAGAATTTGAGATCAGGTCCTCATTCGTTTACAGCAATCTTTGTGGACATTTAATCCTATATAATAAAAAAATGACAGTCCTTAAAAAACTCAGACAAGACTATATTTAACAGATTAACTGTCAAAAAGGTGCAGCTTTTTAACAGATTAACTGTCAAAAAGGTCCAGCACGTATTTGGAATATCGATGAATATTCTAAAATATATTTTACAATGGAAGGTCCACACTAATATCTCATACGTGTATTCTGCCATTTGCCTTAATATCGAAAATACTGTTTACCTCAAATGAAAAATAAAGCCAGAAGCCTTATTTGTGGCCATAGGTGGTCAGATTAAGTAGAAGATTTCATCTTAATCTGAAAAGAAAGGTGGTTCTTATGGAAATCTCTGTAATTAAGACATTCCAAGATGAGACAGCACTGGAGATCAAATTCTATTGTGAGTGCCAGTATCTTTTCTCCCCTTCTCCTTCCCCCCAAATTCTACCAACTGGAAAAATGTAATTAAGAGAATGTGGCTTTTTTCCATAATGTTCATTGTGGGGGTGGGGAGGATTTGATTTGGTTTATGTTGATTGATATTTTGGCAAAATTTTATTTGTACACAAATTTAAATAAAATCTTATCTTTTGTAAGCTCCAAGATCTGTGTATTTCTCCCTTTAATCCATTTTATTCCTTAAATATTTTTTTATTTTGCTAAGAAACTAGCCTTAGTGTCTTAGGCATATCTCCAAAATTAGAATATTTGGGTTATATATTAGTTATATAGTCCCAGGATTATTTCATTTCCACTCAGCTTTATCAGCAACCATTTCTGTCAGGAGATTATTCAATGAAAGAATAAAAATTACGTACAAACAAGAATCTCAGGTTAGTGTCACAGATATCTAACAGGTTAAAATGTGACTTCAGTCTGCCTAATGCTAAAGGGAATGTGCAGACATAAACTCCCATTTAATAAGGTTCAGTTGCCAGCATTAACAGTTTTTCCCACAGCACACAAATGTTTAGCAGCCAAACTTTTTGTTTTGCTTTTTACCAGTTTATATTGTTCTCATAAATTTCACATACAGACAGAAGTTCAAAAGTCGTTTTATAGATCCATATTTGCCATGGAGAAAGAAACCATTTAATAGATGAGTCTTAAGTCCTTTTTAATTGTTATGCAGTGAATGAAAAATATCAATGTCTTCTTCAGCATGTTATGATTTTTTCATAGTTTAATAATTAGTATGGTAAAACTTATTTTGTTAATTAGACAAAAGTCAGCATATTTGAATGTTTTGCCCTTTGTAAAGGCCTGTGTTCACATCACATATATTTTGATGTTTCTAATCAATCCAGATTGGGGGTGTGGGGGGAGTGAGTATAAAGGAATGAAATTATTCATGTGGTCATTTTGTAAGAGAGTTAATAACAAGCAAATAGTCAACCCCTCTTATTTTTTTCAAATAAGTGGTTGTCAGGATTAAGTTTTTTTCTTTTTTCTTGAAGCTCCAAGTGTCTGAGTTTATATAGCTCAAATGCTATCCCTGGTGCTTAGCACAAGTATAAAGTCCATAAATATTTGTAGCATTAATTACTGGTATGTGTGTGTAAACTCAGCTATACTGACAGAGGGCAGAATAGAATAGGGGGCAACTGGTGTTGGTAGTGGATCTACAGTCCTCTGTATATTACCCATTCTAATGTGTCGCATATTGCTGACCTTCCAGCATCCCCTTTAAGTCTTTGTCTCACCTGTACTATATATAAATAGGAAAAATAGTATCCTTTAAATCTGATCGATATTTTTTAAAACTTTATTCTAAGCAAGAATATTCATGGAACAAGATATCTATCTAAACATGGTACTTAGAGAGTAGTACATATTATCTGAATTTCTTTGCCTGTGAGATTTTAACAGACATGCTGTTCTACCATGTCAGTCTGCTAGAACAAGCGTCAATTTAGAGAATGTCTAAGGGCTGACTCTCCCACTTATCAACATTCACTTATTTGAGTTATTAATCTATTTAGTGTTTATCTAGACTAAAACCCAACTCAAGCTTAAAAGGAACAAAAAAGGGAGAACTATGTTGTTCTTATGGTTATAAAAGACAGCATTTTCTAGTTATAGTTAAGGCTGGGTCCAAAGACTCAAAAGCCATCAGAACTTGGATACTGCATCTCAGACCAGCTTGCCCTGTGTTGGTTTCATTCTCAGGCCGGCCACTTCCACGAGGAGGCAGAATGGCTGCTGACCATCTATTGTCAAGCTTAGCATCCCCCAAAAAGGAGAGGGGGAAGGGGAGAGAAAGACAAAAGGAGAGGGAATAAAAGAAAGAGTGAGAGAGGGAAAAAAGAAAGGAAGAAGCTTTTCTCTGTCCTGATAATTCTAAGAAACAACCCAGAATTGAGATGACCAATTTTGGGTCAGGAACCTATCTCAACCAGTTTTTCTGGGGCTCTGATGAGTTTACAGGGCTCTGATGAGTCCAGACTGGGGTAAATACTGCTTGTTAACCTGAAGACAAAACTAGCCTCATCCTAACTGTAGAAACTGAGAAGAAGGGAGAGAGGAAGTAGTTCCATAAGAAAAATAGGAGATCTAATAAGAAACAATGGAGAAAAAAATAAGAGATGACAAACACATTCATTAACCATAACTCAGTGAGGTCGAACAAATTATTCCATAAGGACACTTAGAATTCTAAAATTTCATGATTCTGTTCTTTTCTCACTAGTTCTTTGGAGTCCATTTTTACCCATGCATACAAGTTTTTTTTGTTTTTTTTTTTTAATGTGTGTAGATACTGCTTGAGTCTAAATATTTGACCTTAATTTATTTGTCTTGAGCAGTAATGTCTACATAAGAAATAATGGCATTGAAGCGCTTAGCTCAATTTTGGTTTCTATTTAAGTTGTAATTCAAATCATGAATTAATAAAGTAGCCAAGAAACTTTAAATGACTTGAGCAGATCTGTGAATTGTTTTTAATTAGTTCTTTTACAACTTATATGCCATGTACATTCCTCTCAATTTGCTGTCTGATGGGGAAAAAAAGTTAGGGAATTATATTGGTTTTTATTTAAGGCCTTAATAAAAATGAGAAGAAAAATTATAATTTGACATTTCTAAATTAAACATTTAAAAGTCAGTGATCATTTTCGGGATGTAATATGTTCAAAATTTTTAAATAAATATAATAGTGGTGAAAAATAATGAGAGAAGAATGGGGAAGGATAAGTTCTTATGTATCTTTTTAGATCTGGAGTTGACAAACTAAGGTCAGAGGGACTATTTTAGTAAATTGTTTAATTGGCACACAAACATGCTCATTTCTTTACATATTGTCTATGGTTGCTTTCATTCTACAACAGCAGAGTTAAGTAGAGACCTATTGCTCTAAAATATTTACTATTTGGCCCTTTACAGAAAAGGTTTGCCAAACCCTTCCTTAGTTAAATAAAAAAAAATGCAATATTGCCCCCAAAATGACAGCAATAAATTATTGTTTCCAAACCTGCAAAGAGCAGATTTTAGGCATTAAATTCAAACAAATGAATGACTAGGAAATATGATTTTTGATCTTTCCATTTTAAACTCTAAGAATTTACTAGTCTACAAAAGGCCATTTGCCAATGAAACCTATTCAATTATGTTGATTTATGTCTTTCTATCACCACAGGAATTGCCTTCAGATAGTTTGGTGTGCTTTTGAACATATTGTGGGAATAATATCACAACATGGCTATTGAACTCCCAAAGAACTGTACCTCTCGATTCATCCTCAAAAAGTTCTTTACTAGAGACTTTGTTGTGCCTAATTAAATCTTGGGGTCCTGGGAAGATGCTAAGAAAGCAAGGAAAAAGTGATTTCAGTGAATCTGATTCCCATAACACTGATGCAAAGGCGCTATTCCATTTTATCATTGAGGAAATAATAACATAGTGAGATAAAATTGCTCTGCTAAAATTGCATAGTGGTAAAGTTTAGGCTTCTGGACTTCTGGTTCTTGTGTAATTCTATCATTTCTATTGCATCAGTGCCCAGCAGAACTTTCTGTGATGACAGCAGTGGTAAGTGTCGGTGCTGTCCAATATGTGGCCACTAGGACTGAGAACAGAATTTTAGTCTCTTTGATTTCAATTAATTAATGGCCACATGTTGCTGGTAGCTATTTTTTGTACAGCACGGTTCTGTGGTCTAAATAGAATTGGTTTTAGGGTATGTTACTTTACTTCATTGTCGCTCACACTAATTCAGAAACTTTACCTATGGTGCCATAATTAATCCTCTCCGCAACTCTGAATCTATCATTCCTATTGTACAGATGAGATCGTTGTATCTCAGGGAAGATAAGAATATGACCAGGAACACACAACTGATATGTGGATAGTCAAGACTGAAACTCCGATCTACGTCCACAGCCACTGCTCTTTGTTCTAAACCTGTAAGAAACCAAATTCCATATAGGTATGCCACTTAGAATCATAGGTAATTTGAAAGAGTATTGGAGACAAAAATGTTTAGAAAGCTGGGTTCTTGATATGCCCCACAACTTGGGAAGCAAAATTTAAAAACCGAAAGATTGCCCTATGCAGTTGGACAAATTGCATGGTCTCAATGTGAATGGCACCTTCTCAGACCTGCTCAGCGCATAGGGTGGGAGCTGCTTTCTAGGGACCTAATCCCAAGTGCCTTCTTAATTTACTGCCTTCCTGAGTACAAAAAACCACTCACAAAACAAAAGGCAGAGGGGCAGGAGAAGTGACAGTATTATTACAGCAGTAAGAGAAAAATTAGTAACACCCAGTGAAACTGGAGAGGAATTTACTGAGTAGATGAATGTGTTCAGCTTAAAAAGCTATAAATTCATTTATATAGCCCCTTGTTATGGATCTTGGATTAATTTTCAATGCAAATCTTCTATAAGACTGAAAACATATATAAGTTCTTATAAATAATATTTTATTTTGGGAGAATATTAAATTGTAAAAGAAAAGAAAATATGGTCATTATAGGCCCAAGTAAAAGTTTGTTTTTAAACTGGTCTGTTTTAAATGACATTTAAAAATCTCATTTACTTTACATTGTTTCTCCCCAGAGTAAATGCTAATTTTAGTCTTAGGCCTGGGATTAGAATAATTAGTTAGTGATTCTCAAATAGTATATATTTCATGGAAATGTATCCCCCCCTACCGTTTTGTTCAATACATAGAAATTATTTTTCTGCCACTTGTCATGTATTAATAATGTGTTTCATATTGTTTGGACTTCCTTAAACCATTGAAGTGTAGTGTCTAAAATTCTGATGGTTGAAATAATGCCTCACTGTGTTCCAGGGATGAATGTCAAACAGTATATGGATCTATGTTGAGGCATTTAGTGGGAGTGAAACTTGCTATTTAGGAAGAAACATTGTGTAGGGCAAGCCAGCACCTCAGAAACATGATTAGTTAAAGGGACCATAGCAGAACTTTGCCTTCTGAGTAATTAAAAGAGTATGTTCAAGGCAGTCAACAGTTCTTTTCAAACTACAAGAGCTTACTGGAGAGGACAAAATGCTGCTCGAAGTTGACATCACTTTAGTGCTCAAGTTACGAATAAAGCTGGTGAGTTTCAGGTTCTTCTGCCTTTTCATACTTAGAAGAAG